CCCTGCTGCTGGTCCTCATCTTCATCAGCTCTGTTTGAGGCGCTCTGCCGCTCTCTGGCTTTGACCTGCTCCTGAAGTTTAGCCAGTAAAGCTCTGGAGCGAGACTCTCTGCTGGATTCACTGTCCTCCTCCTCCTCCTCCCCTAAATACCTGATCACCACATGTAACACATCAATGGGACACCGTGTTAAGAAATAACACACACTTTAACCTGTAGATTTTAGGTTGCATTGAATGTATAAGAGAAACTGTATAAAGGCTTGTTTTGTTTTCTTTTCTTTTATGTATATTTTTCATTCTTCTGATGATATGTTTGCAGTTTACAGCAATGTGACATTCATTTGAAATATAATAGTACATCAAGTTTCAAGTCGCATGTATAATAATAATAATAATAATAATAATACAATAATTAGAAAAAGGTGTTTTAACGATCCTTTAAGACGAAGCGTCCTATGCCAGACTGTACAACCAAACAGAAGTGCGTCTGCAATGAGAATGAGCGCCATTGCTTATGATTAAACTGGTCAAATAATTTATTATAAGAATAACTATGAACTAAATATGCAGCGAGCACTATATACTTTTGATGTAAAGAATACATACCTATTTATCATAAACAGTGCCATTATAGTGCCTCCTGGCTCGTGTCAGCGCCACGTAGACCTTTATTTCAATCACGCAGTCATAAATTGCTGTAGTTTTATGTATCGGTTTTCAGAAATGAAACCGTGCACGGCTCCGGTGACCACGTGTTCGTGAGAGCCGGTTTACAGTCGCGAACTGATGACGTAGCGAACGGCCACAGAGATAATCGCTGGTCCCATAACAGCAGAGGACTGTGTCAGTAATTTCCCGGTTTAAATCTTCGCCGTTTATCATTATTCATGACCATAAAGCACTATTGTCGCGTGGAGCATGTGCTGTCCTCCGCGCTGACAGGGACAGACGCCGCCTGGAGGGAGAACCACGCTCCTGCACGAGTAGACCGCTAGATGGCAGTGTTCACAGACACCTTTACAAACACACAACTAATGGCATTGTACTTTACAAGCGTATTTATCATCAAAATAAGTGTCGCATAATTATTTATATTTTTTTGAAGATGCCTCTCTTCTGCTCATCAAGGCTGCACATACAGAGGTGGCCAAAATTATTAGAAGACTAGTATTTTCACCCGCTAAAAAATGGGTTTAAGTGAGTTATTTATATCTTTTGCTGTAGGAAATATCAGTTTACATTTCCAAGCATTCATTTGGCCATTGATTGTAATAATCCAGTGAGATTTTAGTCTGACAGTGCTCCGCACAGAGCTCTGATCTGACCATCATCAGTCTGTCTGAGATTACATGAAGAAACTGATACAAGACTCAATCCAGAAGAACTGTGGCAACGTCTCCAAGCCGCTTCGAGAAACCTATTTGCAAAGTTACCTGAAAAACTCAGGTACAAGCTCAATTTCACCGAGGGCAAAAGCTGCTTTAAGCGCAAAGGATGCTCACACCAAATGTTGATTTCATTTAGTTAAAGGTGGGGTAATTGATTTCTGGTAGCCAATGTTGACATTTGAAATCACCAAAACAAACACGCCCCTACCCCAAAAGGGTCTCGCCCCTATTCTGATAGCTCCGCCCCACACATACGTACCATCTCAGGCAACGATTAGTTCTGTGAAACAAAGCAAAACCAATGTTACACCATGTCTACACCGGACGCGAGTGGCGCGGCGCGAGAACTCATTATAATCAGTGATGCTGTCTACACCATAGATATATATATATATATATACATATCTATGGTCTACAGTGGATGCAGCGCGACACGACAAATCCCCGACAGAAAACTGCTGCTGCGTTCTATTCATGACGTATTGACACAAATTTCAAATGATTTTCAACAGTCGCTTTCCAGTGTTTCCAGCTTTACAGACTTTAGCTGCTGCGGCGCAGACACGGTGTTACTCACCTATCGAGAAGAAACAAAGCCACCTCGGCGTCTGATCGCAGGCCTTCCGCTCCTCGAGTCCTCTCCAGCGCTGGAAAGCTGATCCCATATTTACACGGGTCCTACTTCTTGCCTTAAGCCTTCTTTTGTTCCGCAGATGTTTTCCCCTTTTGTTTTTTATCCGCCATCTCTATCTTTCTGTCGCTCGGCTCGGCTAATGCCCGTCCTGTGCACTGAACCCTCTCCCCTGCACATCACGAGTAGACACGCCCCTTACTGCTGATTGGCTACAAGTTTGTTTTGCTAGTCGGCCCGAATCAGTTTTCTAAAGCGTCTTTGAAAAATCGCTTACCCCACCTTTAATAGAAGTTAATTGATAAAGAAAATGTATGACATTATTTTTGACAGCATCCTCATTTTACAGCATTTTTACACAAGTGCCTAAAACTTTTAACAGCACTGTAGCTTTGCAGGTAGGTTTCTTGAAGCATCTTGGAGACATTGCCACAGTTCAGTTAATGGTAATATGGAAGTTTGTAAATGTAAACTGATATTGACACACTACAGCAAAAGATAGATATAACTGACTTAAAACCTTTTTTTTTAGCTGGTGCAGATACTAGTGTTCTAATAATTTTGGCCACCACTGTATTTGATGCAAAATACAGTAAAAACATATTGTGAGACATTACAGTATTACAATTTAAAATAACCTTTTTCTATTTGAATATAGTTTCAAAATTATTCATTTGATGCAAATATAAATTTGCATCAATTAGTGCGGTCTTCAGTGGCACGCAATCTTTCAGAAATCATTCTAATATGCTACAACACAACGGCATCTTTTAAACAGGTTTCATTTATTATTACATACACATTCTACACCAGTGAGTGTTTTGCATAACTCAAGTATTTCAAAAAGACAAATGCTTCCAGATTCATTCAAAAGGCCACCAAACAATCATGGCTGTTTCGACATTAAGCATAAACAATATGAACAATCCCCAATCTCAAACTCATATAAAACACCTTTCCACAAACAGCAATGTGGATACACAACTAAAATTCGCCCCTTGTAATAGAAACTTTATCTCATAACTCTTAGTGTCAGTGAAAAAGTGTGTGATGCACCTGCCTAATTCTTACAGGTGTACTGAAAACCTATGCAGCAAAAGAAACAGGTTTCATGGGATCGGACTGAATATGAGCATATCTGCATACATTGCAATTAATAACTGATTTAGTGTATATTGTGACCAGCAGAGATAACAGTGTCTTTGTACTAGAGCTGCCTGTGTTTAAACATAATAAAGGGAATGTGCAGTGTGTATTGATAACTAGAAATCAAATATTACACTGAACAGAATATAAGTCACATTCTATTACAGTCGTGTGCAATATAATCCAGCATCAATTGGATTTAACGTCCAGCTGTTTAATATGATCCCAGCACTAATGTGCTTAATGAAAAACATCGTAAGATCGTTTTAAACACTGTATACTAGCGCTTGCACTTTCATAAATATACGGTGCACTAGATTCGGTGTTGCTTGTACCATATTTAGAGCTTATATCTGCTTACTTTTCATTGGCTTTCGTGCTAAACATGATTATCAGGAAAATACTCAATTGGAGCAAACTCTTGATGAGTCCAAATGAAAAAGGCCATTCAACATAAGGATAATCTAAAGTTTTTTTGGGGAAAAAAAAAAGATTTTAAAACTGTCAGACATAATGTCAAAATTGCAATACATTCAGGTTTTTGCAGACATAATTTCTAGTGAAATTTTTTTTAGTGAAGGCAAAGTTTGACAGTTGGATGCTTTCCACATTCAGCTGTGCAAATATAACAAATATATATAGCTGTAATAATGAATCTGACAAGGCATAATTTGTCCAGGTCACGTTTGACCCAAAAATCAAAAGAAAGAAAATGACAATATATATTTCTTGAATGAAAATGAAGCTTATTTTAGGACCATTAAGATTATGTATATATATATATATATATATACACTGTAAAAAATGACTGTCAAAAAATTTTAATTTAACGGTAAAAGACTGTAAAAAATGCTACAGTAAAAACCTGTTAAATGGTTAACGGTAAATTCCCCTACTATATACGGTGAAAAACTGTATTGGACATTACATGTATTGGACATTAATTTTACGGTAGTATACTGTTTTTTGGAAGTGAAAAATACCGTATAATTTACAGTGAATAACCGTAAATTGACGTTCCCAGAATTCCCTGCAAATTTCAAATTTGATGTTTTTTTGTTTAAATAACTGTTTCTTCTTAGTTTTTTCTTATCAGTTTTGTATATTAGGGTTGTGTGTTACACCTAATGTTGTTAAATTAATGTTTATTGCATTATTTCAGTTTCATGTGTGTTACCATGATGGTGTTTAGTGTTTGTGTGAATGACGCTGTGCAGCTTCTATATATGTTAATGTTTAAAAGCTGCTTGTGATGGGCTTTGGTTCATCATGTGACTTTCTCATCACCTCCTGCATTTGGTGGTTATCAGTGTATTACAAAGCTACAAAACAGATTTCAGTACTTCAATAGGTTGGTATATTAACATTACATCAGTTAATGGAATTACGGTATTTAACTGTAAATTTAAGTTAAAACCTAAAACGTTGCTACCGTATTTTTTTAACGGTAAAATTCCGGCAACCACAGCTTTTTTTTTTTTTTACAGTGTACATATGTGTGTGTGTACATGTACATATATATACACACGAAATAATATTTTATTTAAAATATAAAGCACTTTTGTAAAGTACACATGATAGTAGTACTCTTGTACTGAATTGATTTTAATAAAAAATAATAAACATCAAGAAAATAATTTGTAAGGAAACTTTTAATGAAAATGTTACAATTTGGTGCTTAAAACCTGTTTTCTTTTAAATTTGGAGTGAAATGTGACCTGGATATGAAGGTAAAGCCTAGTGAAATGTTGGCTGACACCTTTGTGTGTGTTTTGAGAAACAAAATCATCAACATATATTTTATCAATAGTTAGAATGTTTCCGGTTTTCTTTTTTTATTATTAAGATGTACGACTCTGCCAGATCTGAGCTATACAAAACTGCCTGGTATACCTTGATAGTAGAAGTACCATTGGTAAACAGATGGCGAATAATACAAACATTTCATAATGGTGTATATCATTTTTTTAAGTTCATGCTCATAATAGAAAACAATCCAAACAATTTTTGTAAAACAACTAAATCAGGTTTCTGTGGATGTGGTACATACGCAGGACAGAAATGAAGCTTGACAGCATGAGAATGATCTGAGGTAGCAAAAGATGTCACACAATCAAACGCTGACCCAGAGATAGACAGCCAGAGGCCATAAATGTGCTTCATTCTTGAATAAATTACACTCGGTATACAGCATTTCATTATGTTAAGCTCAAATCTTTTCTTTTCAGATTCAGCGTCTGTGAATCTGCGGTTTCACAGACGCTGTTCTCTCAGCGTTTATCTTGACGGCCCTTAAGGTGGAAGGGCGCCGAGACGAAGGGGTCAGTGGAAGTCCCATCAGACGTCACAGTGCTCGGTCTGTGTTCAGGGTTTGTGTTCACAGGTCCTTCGTAGTGTCTGGAATACTTAGAAAGTGCCTGGGGGCGAAAGGGCAGAGGGGTCACTTGGCCGAGGATGCTCTGGTCAAGGGAAGAAAATCTCGGCTGGGCCGCCGGATTGCTGTAAACCTTTCCAGAAGCTTCCTTCTTTCTACCAAAGGGCGCCTGGAGGAAAATATCAGGCTGTCGAGGCTGAGCTGGAAGACGAGGAAACGGCGCATTGGCGAACACGTCCCCATCGCCGTCTATGTCTTCTCCAATTCGAAACGGAGCTTTGGAAAAGACATCGACGCTTGCATCTGTGTCTGCATGTTGGGCTTGTGAAACCAGCTGTGGCGAGTGGTTCTGAGAAACCAGCGAGGACTGGTTTTCAACTGGTTCCTCAGATTGGGAAGACATCTGGAGGTTTCTGGAAGACGCGGGACTTTGGTCGCCATCGTCATCCGAGTCTTGAAGTAACGGTCTGGAGCCACTGCAGTCCAGACTTGGCGTTTCTTCGCCGCTCACCTGTGACCTCCCCCCTTCTTTTTCTCCATCGTCTTCATCGCTGGAATGAAGACAGCCCTCCTCCACAGGGTTCTCGAGGTCACCTCCCTCCGAATGCGATCCATATCCATCACTCTTGCTTCTGGCTTCTGCAAAACAGAAAACCGTAGAAAGGGAATTCATAGTTAGAGACATTTTCACCAATACGTTACAGTAGGGCTGGGTTTTGACACAAATTTCACGATTAGATTCTCATTCACAAGCTTGCGATTCGATTCGATTCCTAATTCGATTATTTGGGATATATATCAGGTACACAAGCCAAATTTTCTCAAGGAAAAAAAAATTCTCTTAACTACTTTTTAGCAAAATGCCCCTCTCTACAATTAATTTTTCTATCTGACTAATGAGTTTATGGTCACCGAATATGTTTTTCTGAGGTAAATGTGACGTTATGTGACATTGTTTACAAGCCGTTATATTGACGTCTTTGCGCGGCTGAAACACTGATTGAGCGATTACACGAGACAGGATATGGATTGTAAAGTTTTACTATTTATTTTATACTTACCTTTGGATGTTTAGTCATGTTTATTTTGTGCTGAAACTGGTATTAATGTGGAGGAGATGATCAGTTCACGTGCGCCTCCTGCTGCCGCATCTGTTGATCGAGGCGCTACAACGATCTGTCACTCCACATTAAACAGCGCCAAAACGGCATTTATTGTTTGAATACTGCAATACAATGAACATAATTTGACATCTGAGACTTTGTTTCATATTAAAAGTACCAAAGCACAATGCTTATTGCGATTTATTGGATGGGAAGTACCCGTCAATGTTCCGTCCATTAACTGAAAACAGGCTAGACTAATCGATTCTTGGGATTTAAGAATCGATATCGTTCCGTAAAAATGAGAATCGATTAAAATCGAGATATCGATTTTTTATTTTTTTTTACCCAGCCCTACGCTACAGTATGAATTCAATAGCAGGAACAATCAATGATAGTGACCAAAATATTTCCAAAACTAAAAATTGTGTCATCCTATAAATCTACAGAATGAAAAAAAAAGAAGAAAAAAGTGGGAATAACCAGAATCGTCTATTGTTGCAGCCTGTATTGGGACAATTGTTGCAACATTACTGTGCCTCTTCTACAGAATGGCTAACCCAAAAATTTATATTGTCATTATTTACTCATCTGTATGACTTTCTTACCCCCGCTGAACACAAAAGGAGGAATTATGAATTCATTATGAATTGAATTTGAGTGTTTTCTGTAAAAATTATAATACATTTGAACTGGAGCATTCAAGCTTCAAAAAGGAAGCAAGTTCACTGAAGCTATGCAGTCGCTGTGGACGCTATTTGACTGTTTAAGCCAAATTTAAGTCATTATTCCCTGAAAATCTGGACATCCAACATGGATACTATAGGGAGATGAGGTTCAGGAGAGATGTTGAGATCTTTTCAATTGGCCGATCCAGTTCTCAATTTTTTTTTTTAGAAATATGATATGATATATCATCACAAATCATATCTGGTTCTTAAGTTCCTCTCCCTGACTCAAATCACAAATTAGGAGCCCATTGAGATGATTATTAAGTCTCTTCATCATAAGAAGCGATCATATGACTTTAGAATATAGTTATGAATCATTTTTATGGTGCTTCTGTGTTGTGAAGCTTGAAAGTAATTCAGTGCGGGAGAAAAAAAATCATATTGCTCAATTTCTCCTTTTGTGTTCCACAACGTCAGACAGGTTTGGAACAATATTATGGTATCACATGATGACAGAATTTCGTTTTTTGTTTTGTTTTCTTGGCTGAACTATCCTTTAAGATGAGGGAGGATCTGTAGGTTTAAAATGATTTAAACAGGATAGTCCAACCAAAAAAAAATGAGTCCATCATCATCATCTACTCCCTCTCATGTCGTATCAAACCTGTATGACTTTCTTTGGTGGAAGACAAAAGATATTTTGAAGAACGTTGGCAACCAAACAGTTTTGATGACCACTGACTTCCACTGAATGGAAAAAGGCATTTCTCAAAATGTCCCACAGATGAAAAAGTCATACAGGTCTATAACATGAGAGTGAGTAAATGACAATTGTATTCTTTGTGGGCAAACAAGTGAATAAAATTGGGAAAAGACTAATGATTAAGCATTCATTTACACAAGATGGCTACACAATGAAGCAATACAGCACATTCTACAACAGTATAAACCCCAGAAATACAGTACTACTGACTGATACCACGAACAGTCAACGTCTATGACAGCTACCACTGACAAACACAAACCTTGTTTCCAAAAACGGTCACTATTAGCCCTTCAATAAACCAAACACATTTCTGAGAAATGTCAGAAGTCTAATGGTTCATAAACAAATAAATTGACAGGAAGAGCTACTCCTTATTTCCCCAAGGCTGTCAATTGCATAGGCAAGTTTTAATGTGATTAATAATATTAATATTATATGAATAATATGTAAATTGAAAGCCCCGCATTTGTCTTTTGTGATACCACTTCCATTTAGTTTTGATGTGAATTTCTGAAAGTTGCGCTAGCAATAGACAGCTGACCTTAATAAGCGTCGAAAGCCATGGAAACAAGGAGGTTACAGAAAACACAATGACAGAACTGAGATCAGAGCAGAGACGTGATGCAAGTCTTACCTTCAGGATGAAGGAAAAGGGTGGCATTAAATTTAGGATTTAGTTAAAACAGTGCTAACAACATCCTAACACACTGCACAGATTATCGGTGTAAAATATGCTTTTGTTTGCAAATATATACTCAATAGCACTCATGAGGCGGGATGCAAAGTTTAGCAGAAACTGTGCAATATATGAGAAATGCCACTAAACCTAAAGCTTTAACACCTGTGCTACTGAACACCTATTGTGCATGATAAACTGAAAATCATTACCATGTTATTGCCCATCAGTCTCCTCCAAACTGCCAACACGCTATTCACCGAAGTCATAATGCAGGAGTCTATTAATATGTCAGTGAGCTGTTAGAAATGTGCAATATACACTAATGTTCAAAAGTGTACAGTCTGTAAGATTTTTGTTTGTTTTAAAAAAAAAAGTCTCTTAAACTCACCAGGACTGCATTTATTTGATTAAAAATACAGTAATACTGTGAAATATTATTACAATTAAAACAACAACTTTCAATTTTAATATATTTAGAAATGTAATTTGAGAACAAATTTTTTTTTCAAAAGACTTGAATAAAAAGTGACATTAAATGTCTTTACCGTTACTTTTGATCAATTTAATGCGTCCCTGCTCAATAAAAGTATTCATTTATAATCTATTTATTTATTTTTTAATCCTACAGAACCAACATTTTGAGCTGTAGTGTAATGGAAGTGAAGCGAAAATCTTCTGTTAAAGTCACTGCATTTGAATGTGGCACATACAACACAGATTAGGACACAACTATCGGTTCCCATCTACACTTTTATTTAATATCCTTCTTTTCAGAATTTTCACTGTCACATAAAAACAGAAAGAATTCGGCGATCGATAACATACGGAAAAATGGATAAAACCATGGCATTCCAGTATAGATAAGACTTTTTTGTTGTTGTTGACATTATTTTCTCCTGACATGGGCTCTAATACACACTACAACACAAGACAGACGTCAGACTACTTAGCCACACCGCTAAGTGTATATCTAAGAGTAACATGAGCACTACAGATTGCATAGGTCAGCCACATTAAAACAAGCAAAGGGAGGAAGAGGAAATAGAAAGAAAGAAATTAAGGATTTGATATACACAGAAAACGTTCAATCTCATGACAATTCATAACTATGAAATGGTGGCTAATTTGTATGAAGTTGTACAACCGCATTCGTACATTTTCGAACAATTTGCTTACGTCCCACTGATGGTTAGGTTTAGGGTGGACCTTCACGCTTATGATTTTTTCTAAAAATTGCAAATTTACGACAAACGTATTACGTAAAATAGTTATATTTTCTCATGAGATCGGGTAGTAATATTACAGAACAACGTTCTACCGATGCAACATTTGCACAAGCTTCAAACAAAACAATGACTCAAAATAAAACAATGTAAACCCTATAAGCAGTTCATCGCAAAAAAAAAAATTATTCTGTTTTATTACAGCTTCCACACATCTAATTATGAAAATCCAAACACCATGCAGTGCATATAGTACAGAAATACATATTTTCTTATATTGAGCTCTACATGGTTTTATATTTGATATGATGATAAATGTGTCTTTGCAGAGATTCGTCAAGAGTCAGTGAGTACGTTTACATGGACATCAGTAATCTAATTATTTACCTTATTCTGAATAAGACAATATTATGATTAAGGTGTTTACATGAGTTGCTTTTAGAATATTCCTTTCATGTTCTCGTTTCACATGTTATAGTACATCGATTAATGGCACACGTCATTACGTCCCCACGTGACGCCATCCGACGTCCCCTCTACAATTTCACATATAAACATATCGTTCGTCTTCGTGATGATGCCATGTACAGTTTTGAATGTTTCATTTTTAATTTACTGAAAGCTTCAAGTGCAGTTAATTATTTGTTATGCTATACGTGCAAACAGATGACGGCGTTGTTGAAGCCAAGCTCTTTTGTTTGCCGTCAAACGGTTGAGCACTGCCGTGTGCATGTCGCAAAATGCGAAGAAAAGTCCTATACGACGGTAATAATGTGATTAAGGTGTGTACATGTCTATACTGCACTTCAGTAATGCGATAGATAGGAATACTCCACATGTCTTAATTCGATTTCTGTTTACTTCGAATATGACTTTAGCCGGATTAAGGGAATCAAAAATCTCTGTTTACATGGTAGATTCTTAATCAGAGTATTGTCTTAATCGTGTTAAAATCGGATTATTGTTGTCCATGTAAACGTACTCCGTGTCTACACAGCAGTGTAAAATCAGCTTTAGGATAGTGATAGACTGATATATAAAAGCAGTATTTCACCGTTTTGAAATATTTGACATAAGCCGATAACTATACCCGCTCAGCCGATTAACAAATAAGTTAACTTGAAGGATAATAAGCTATTTTTGTCGTCAGATTTTTATTTCGTCAATGAATTTAGCACTTTTCCATAACATTTTCAA